TGCATCCATACTGCAGAAATAATCTAGTTTGACCCCTACTTTAACTGCCATGCTATGGAGTTCTGGGAATTGTAGTTTTTTGAGGCATTTAGCCTTCTTGTCAGAGAGTACTTTTGTCACAACAAACTACAGTTCCCAGGGTTCCATAGCATTGAGCCATGGCAGTTAAAGTGGTGTCAAAATGGATTATTTCTGCAATGGGGATGCAGCCAGAACCAACTGAGTAAGCAGTGTTCTGACTAAACATAAATGTATTGCAGGCTTTGTAAAATTAAAATGTGGTTTTAAAGAACATGGATGTGATGTTACAAGAAGCAAGGTTTGCATATACACTCACACACGCGTCTTCAGGTTTATTATTATTATTATTATTATTATTATTATTATTATTATTATTATACCTGTGTAACAAACCAGAAAAAAGGAGTTAGATTAAGGAAACAACCACAGCTGTCAGTTTTTAAATTGCATATGGTAACTTTTTCATTCATCCATTAATCAGTTCAAGGGTAACAATAGTTAAAACTTATTTTCATAATATCAAGGCTTCTGGTGAACACTTTTCTGAGAAATATAGAAAGAAGTGTGCGGTAACTTGAAATTTAGGAAAGGAAACCAACCAGTTGTGGTTAGACGAAAAATCAACCTGTGTGAATTTCATAGGGGTATCTTAGGCAAGGAAGAAAATGCAGAGGTACATCCCTTCTTCCCCCAAAAAAAGAAAATTGCCTCGAAAAAAAAGCACAGAACTCCCCTCAGATCATCCTGTTTTTAAATATGCAGAGTTTGGAAATGTTTCTTTTCTGGAACAAAACACCCAGAATTTCCCAGTGGCCATACTGGCAGGAAATGGGTGGCATGGTAATCCGGAAAAGTAACACAAGGCTGTATTCACACTGCAGAAATAATCTGGTGTGACACCGATTTAACTCCCAAGGCTCAATGCTATGGAATTCTGGGAACTGCCACAGCAAACTACAGTTCCCAGAATTCCATAGCATTGAGCCTTGGCCGTTGGAGCGGTGTCATACCGGATTATTTCTGCAGTGCGGATGCAGCCTTTTGCGGGCTAAGGAAAATTTGTCCTCCTTTTCCCGGATGATCGTTTCATTGCTATTGTTTAATAAGGGAAGGGAAGATCCCCCAATTTGTCCTGGATGCAGCGCTATCAAGCGTTTGTTGGACCTGTTCCTTTCCAAAGTTGGCTATAGTCAGGGTGGCCAGACACGTCCTCCTTTTCCAGGACGCGTCCTCCATGCCAGTCTTTTCTTCCCAGGAGGAATTGCAACACATCTTCCATTCTGAGCAGGATCAAGAAGCATGGATTTCATCTTTATGTTTCCATGAGTGTTTTTTTAGATCTTGAATTTGTAACGCCCTACGTTCAAGGGGTGTGAAACTGTGTTACCTCCACAGTGCAGACGCAGCCTAAGGAGCAAAGCGGGGAAAGAGAGAGTCAGTGAGAATTGGTTAGAAAAGCCTCTACTTAGAAGTGCAGCTTCCCAATGATCCCTTCCTTCGTTTGGAAAGGCTTTGGGGTTTGGGGGTTCTGGGAATTGTAGTTTCTTGTGGCACAGGAGCTCTCTGACAAAGAAGAATAAATGTCTCCCAAAACGGCAATCCCTGCAATTCCATGGCACTGAAGCATGGCAGTTAAAATGGTCTCGAACTGGATTATTTCTGCCGCAGCCAATGCTATGGATTGAGGGGAACTTTATGGTGGCACCAAAGCTCTCTGACAGAGAAGGCGAAGTGTCTCCCAAAATTAGCTCCCAGACTTCCATCGCAGTGAGCCAGGGCAGTTAAAGCGGCGTCGAACCGGATTATTTCTGCGGTGTGGATGCAGCCGGAGATAAAAGCGTGTCTTGGGGGAGCTGAGGAATGGGACTTTTGTCACACTTTCACTTGACCCAGTCTATTGGACACTAAAAAGTGATCATCCTTTTTAAAAACAAAAGAAAAACCCTCTTCCTCCCTTTCCCTCTAACCACATTTCCGCACTACCCTCTTAGAGCGCTGCTATCCCGCTTTCACTGCCCTGGCTGCCTCCTGTCGCACCCTGAGGTCTGTAGCTCAGTGAGACCTAGAGATTTCTAAATGCTTCCCTTAAACTACAAATCCCAGATTGCAAGAAGAGGCAGCCAGGGCAGCGAAAGCGGGACAGGAGCGCGATCGGAGGGCGGTGCGGCCCTCTATCTATTGGATATCTATATCTATATCTATGTCTATATCTATATGTCTCTCCGGAGCGTCACGTGTGAATGGGGCCCTTAGTATTCCTGAGTGGCGTCTGCGCTCCCTTCCTTTGACAAGGCAACAAAGAAAGCCCTTTTAAACAAGAAAGAGAGAAAGGAAGGAGTCCTGGCAGTGGCCCCATTTGGATCCTGGCCAGAAGAGGGAAGAAAACCCCCAAAGAGGAAAGGGGGAGGCAGGCCCCCATCTCTTCTTCTCCCTCCCTGCCCCCCTTCCAGTTCAAGT